AGGAATGAGTTATATAATTTATACTTCTAACAGTAAAGCCTCAAATAATACAACTCAAAAATGAAACGGCCTTTGAAAATGGTCAAGCAACTCTCATCTGTGAGGCAGAAGGAGAACCTGCCCCTGAAATTACTTGGAAAAGAGCCATTGATGGAATAACATTCTCTGAAGGTGATAAGGTAAATCAATCTATCTTGATTTTTTGTGGAAACAGGATTATGTTGAATAAAATCCGAACATGTCTCTTGCTCATTAAAAACGAAACTGAGAAATTGTTTTATGACTTTGAACTGGAGGTCATATTCTGTTTACAAGGTAATTGTACTGTAGCATGAAAATCCAGATGCAGTGAAAAAATGAAGAGTTATACTGCCAAATGACAAAAGATAAATGTTTAGAGTAGAAGGGTATATCATTCAAAATTGTTTCTTATTTGTGTCCTTTGGTTGCAATCCAGAAAATGAACTGCAAGGAGGATTTATTTTTTTTCTTGATGTCTGTGGAAAGTCTCCAGGAAAAGTTGTGTTTGTTGGGGCGGTGGGCTTTGAAGTACAGTATCTTAGCTTGAAGCAGAGGTCATTTTGGGGGGGATCGCGGAGGATCGCAGTTCCCCCGGGTGAGGTGCGGGGGCAGGGCACATCACGAAGCCCTGCCCCCTGCTTCCGGCCGCCCCGCTTCCGGCCCTCATTCAGCCAGGAGGAGGCAGGAGAAGAGGGAGGGTAAGTTGCTTCCTCCCTGCCTCTCCCCACCCCTGCCTGCCTGGGGCCAGGGAGGGCCTTCGCGGGGCTTCCTTGCACTCTCGCCAGTCTTGCAGGTCCACCGCCGGGCCCCTCATGGGGCTTGGCAGTGAAGCTGCAAGGCCGGCAGCAGCGGCCGGGACCGTTGGTGGCGGGGTGTGTGGCCTTATGACACACTTCCGGTGATGTCAAGGGGTGTGGCCTTATGACACACTTCCGGTGATGTCAGGGGGTGTGGCATATGCTAATGAGTTATGCTAATGAGTTCCCCTAGCTCTTTTTCTACGAAACGACCCCTGGCTTGAAGTACAATAAATTCTTATTGTCTTCAGATATGAACATATTTGAAATATTTGTTTGTATGGCAGTGTTCATGTCTAGAGAATCCAGACTTTCAGTTTAAGAAGGAGCAGGGTAGTAGCTTATCTAGCTACAATAAAATATTGCAAAGGCAGATAGAGATTCTGACTGAAGTGTCTGACAGAAGATGACAAGAATAAGGATGGACAGGTCTCCTAGTCACTGTTCTTCCTTCTTTGACTACTATTAGCTTATATCACACAATTCCTATTCTTTTTTATTTTGTTCTACATTTAGCAGATAACAATATAGCAATTTTTTGTGTTTGCTTTGTTAACTTGGATTTTATGAGTTTTATTGTATTTGATTGCTTGTTTAGACTATAGCTCACTTTGAGGGCCTACTGCTAGACTAACTCAGTGGAATGTAAATGCAAAAGTCCGTCTCTACCTTTAATGCTACAGTAATTTGAAATTGTCATAACCTAGGCCATTTCCACACTGATGATTTTCCCTGGGTTGAATGTTTTTGTGAAGTGTCTCACCTAGTGTTTCCAAGTGCAATCTTCGCTGCAGCGGGAAACTCCTGGCTGGCAGCTTGAGCGCCCACGTGCGCGTGCCACATCCTCGTCACTCGGAAGTGACGCAACCACGCCGGGCATGCTGGGGGTGGGGCCACGACCATCAGAGGAAAACCATAGAGTTTTCTCTCAGATGCCCGTGCCCCCGCCCCCAGCATGGCTGATGTGGTCGCATCACTTCTGGGTGACGTGCACGTCGGGGTGGGGTTCCCCCCGGGGCCCTATCCACCGGTGGTGGGGAACGGGCCTCTGGGCGGGGTTTTCCCCGCCCCCCGGGGGGATTTAGCAAGCCTAGTCTCCCCCCCCCGCTTCCCCACTGTGTTGTGGTGTATCTGTTTTGGTTTTAATCTTTGTTGTTAGGCACTCTGAGATTATCAGAAAGGAAGGATACACACACATGCACACAATTTTTGAGGTTAATTATCTTCCCAAAAGAGGCAGTGGTCTTTTTCTCTACATCCTATATTCAGGATCCAGGTTCAAGGAGCCTACAGAAATTAAAACAATTACTTGATAGCAAAGGATTGAAAGACTGACATTTTGCCTCAATTTTGTCTCTGTCAGGAATGTAAGTGCCATATACATACATACATAACATAAGTTATATACATACATACACACACACACACTCCTACATACATGAGTATACATATATAAACAAAAGGTTTAATATATATACATGCACACATACATACCTGTGTGTGTGTGTGTGTGTGTGTGGTTGCCAAGTCTCTCCAGGCAACTGGAACGGGGTGGGGAGATTTATCATCAGTGGGGGAGGCCTTGGCTGATGTTGCAGCAACATTATCAGCAATTTGGCAATGTAACTTCTGGCACACACTGGAAGTGACATCTTTGTTGCCAGTGACACAGGGATGAACTGGTATTTGGGCATTGAGGTTTTGCCCAAATACCAGAGCATTCTACATCACCAGCAACACAATGATATGTTTCCAGTGCATGCTGGAAGTGACATCACCACATTGATGGTGACCTCACTGAGATACCATCCTAGGCCTCCCCCTCTGCCAGTAAGTCCCCCCACTAGCTAGCTAATTGGTGGCAGGGAGAGGTGCCCAGGCTAGGATATCTGATGCCCTCAGCAGGGTCTTGGCAATCCTGCATACATGGGGAAATGAGTTCTGTGGTACAGGGTACAACATGGGATACTATCATGCTGATTGCTGTTTCCAGTGCTCACAAGGCCAGATGTGGCTTATCATGTCCTTTATGTGTTATAATCGCTTATTTGTTTACAATTGTTGGTCTTCAGTTTTCTGATATAGTGGGAGATTATCACTGAGATTATACTTTATCAAGCAGGTTTGTTTGTGGGCATTGCTAATTTTGAGTATGTTGCTAGCTCTGCTTGAAGCCCCTCTGTGTCAGAATAATGAGATAGTTGTATGTAATGTTCCTGATTTTTGGACTGTTCTCTGTCTCATAGTCAGGCTTCTGTGGATGGTCTATTTGTGTGAGATGGGTAAAATGGTAATTGCAACTTCTTTCTGTTCTGTGAACCGGAAGAAATACGGGCTGTGACTTCCATGTTTATTTATTTATTTAATTGCATTTATATCCTGCCCTCCCCGCATGCGGGCTCAGGGCGGCTTACGAAACACAGGTGTAATACAACACCACAGTTAAAACAATTAAGGCACACAGTGTGATAAAATACAGTTAAAACAATTTAAACACAGTTAAGCGCAGTGGGCAACTCCTAAGGATCCATCATGAGCTCCCTATTGCACATCACATTGAGTCAGAGAGGGGGATGCTATGGCCCCGATGTTCGCTGGCCAGTCAGCCTAACCAAGCAGTACTGCTTTGCAGTCACCCATTGGTGGTGGTGGTGGCAGCGGCTCCTATTCGAAAGCCTGGCGGAAAAGCTCCATCTTACAGGCCCTGCGAAACTGCAACAAGTCCCGCAGAGCCCTGATCTCCTCCGGGAGCTCATTCCACCAGATAGGAGCTGCCACCGAAAAGGACCTGACCTCTTTAGGGCCCGGGGTCACTAGATGGTGTTGTGACCCCGACCGAAGTGCTCTTTGGGGCCTGTATGGGGAAAGGCGGTCCCTCAGGTATGCTGGACCCTGGCCATGTAGGGCTTTAAAGGTAAGCACCAGCACTTTGAAGCGAATCCGGAATGCTATAGGCAGCCAGTGATGCGCTTTCAGCACAGGCTGGATGTGGTCCCATCTAGAGGCACCTGCAACCAGCCTGGCCGCCGCATTCTGCGACCAGCTGCAGCCCCATGTAGAGAGTGTTGCAGTAGTCTAGCCTCGAGGTAACCGTTGCATGGATCACTGTGACCAGGTCTTCGTGGCTAAGGAAGGGGACCAACTGCCCCACCAGCTGTAGATGGTAGAAGGCTGCTTTGGCAGTGGCTGCCACCTGGGCCTCCATCGTTAAGGTGGGGTCCAGGAGCACTCCCAAACCCCTAACCTCCGAAGCTGGCACCAAAGGCGCCCCATCGAAGGCCGGGAGCGGGAGCCCCAGTCCCATACCACTCCGACCCAGGCACAGGACCTCCGCCGGGTTCAGCTTCAGCCGACTCAGCCTGAGCCATCCAGATACGGCCTGTAACGCCTGGTGAAGATATTCTGGATCAGAGTCCGACTGACCACCCGACATCAGATAGAGCTGGGTGTCATCGGCCATATTGTTCACATGATTTGGTGGTTCTTATACCGTGCCAGTCATGTGGGTAAGTGGCTCATATTAGCCATTACATGTAGAAATGAACAGCCCATTTATCATTAGAAATGATTTACTATATGGAAGCAGAAAAGGAAGGTTTGACTTTTCATATTTGGTAAGCATCCTTTGCTTTGCAGCTATAGTTGACTGTGTTCTTTACGTTTACTGTACAACTTTTGCAAGTCATATTGTTATCCTGATAGCTGAAGACCATCAGACCAAGATAGTTCATTTGATCTCTGTAGATGCTGTTGTACTACACCTTCTATTTGTCAGCTGTTCTTTCTTGCCCTGCCTTTCCTGCTTAATGCATTTTATTTATTTATTTATTTAACCTTAGACTTTATATCCCGCTCGAACCCCCTTTCTCAGGGGGTCTCTTTGTGAGCGAAGGTCATAGTTTATTTCCACTGTAAAAGATAATTCTGTAAGAAAATACTGAAATAACCCAATTATTTAATCTAGAAAAAGATTAAGGAGCAAGATATTAACAGTTTTCAATTTACTTAATGTAAGACAGAGGCTGACCAGGTGAGAACAGTTTTAAAATGATGCAAGTCTACACTGAAAATAATAATTCAAAAAATGTCCTGCCAACCCAGCAGTCCGAAAGCCCCTCGGAGCAATTAGGTAAATGGGTACCTGTCCGTAGGAGGACAGGGGGGTACCCCTCCCTCGAACAACAGAATGGTGTCATAGAGCATAAGAATCACACACTTCTGGACGCAGTATGTACTATTCTCAGAGACAGTTGCTTGCATGTACAGTTTTGGGGTGAAGCTATTGTCACAGCTGACTGCACGCAGAATAGGCTAGTCACGAGATCTACAGGTATGATTCCTTGTGAACTGTGGGTTGGCCA